TGTGCTTCAAAGCAGACACGCCCTGTCGCAAGCCTGCTAGTTGTGTCGCTAGTTTGTGGGCTGTGGGGCACTCGGGGTGTGGGACATCATGCGAGAAGCCGTGCCGTGATCGTTGTTGCCCGGTTGCCGCGGGACGTGCCCAAAGGCTGTGCGTGCTGTTGCTAACAGCCAATGCTGACCGCTTTGTCAGGCAACAATGCGCAGGCAGGCGCAGTGTTTAGCTTAGAATGGGCTTAGAGGTTTTTTCCAGTGCATCGGTCGAGTGGAAGCAGTGGAAGTTGGTGGTGAGGTTCGTGAGGATGTTCTGCAGCTAGAGCCAAAAGCCGTATCAGAAAGTGCTTCAACTGTCGCAGTCCAGTCTATGGCACAAACAAGCACATGTGCAGAGATTTGTGGGTGCATGCACGGCACAGAGCTTGGCCTGCAACGACCACCCCAAAAGTGTCATGAAGGTGCAGTGATTTCAACCGAAGGGTGGAGCACAGCCGACCCTCGTGCGAGCTCGTGGCGGACTAGCTTGTTGGATTCAGAGATTGTCTCATCCCGCAGGACTTGATCACATGTGCTTCAAAGCAGACACGCCCTGTCGCAAGCCTCCTAGTTGTGTCGCTAGTTTGTGGGCTGTGGGGCACTCGGAGTGAGGGACATCATGCGAGAAGCCGTGCGGGTATCGTTGTTGCCCGGTTGCCAGGGGACGTGCCCAAAGGCTGTGCGTGCTGTTGCTAACAGCCGATGCTGACTGCTTTGTCAGGTCACAACGCACAAGCACGGCGCAGTGTTCAGCCTAGAATCGGCTTAGAGGTTTTTTCAGGTGCATCGGTCCAGTGGAAGCAGTGGAAGTTGGTGGTGAGGTTCGTGAGGATGTTCTGCAGCCAGGGCCACAAACGTATCAGCAAGTGCTTCAACTGTCGCCGTCCAGTCTATGGCACAAACAAGCACATGTGCGCTGTTGGAGCACAGCCGACCCTCGTGCGAGCCCACTAGCTTCTTGGATGCAAAGATGGCGTTAATGCTGCCCGCAGGGCTTTGGCACGTGTTTCCCAAAGCAGACACCCCCCTGGTAGTAGAGGGCCCCACCCAGCTAGTTGTCTGGCCAGTGTGTCGGTCCAGCCTGTCCGAATCCCGTCGGCCCCACCTGTCTTGGAGGAACCGAGGATTCCGAGCAAAGTGTGCACTTGAAGCAGTCAGCATCTTCGTTCCCGGAAGCAATGTGTCATAAAGGGCCGTCTGCCCAGTCAAACGCGTCCAACAATCCGCTTCTCGCCCGTAGCCCTTGCAAGCGTCGGCTCTTGCATCCAGGGTCCAAAGTGACGGCCTTGGAGCTCCAGGTTAGGCAAACTACATCTTATTGACAGCGTCGTCGGCGATCTCAGAAGATGCTTGGCTGTCTTTCTCGCCAATCGAAAACAGTCTTTCGGCACACCAAGCTTCTGGAATAGACTTTCGACCGCGAGTGTCCAACGCAAAAGTGTTCCAGTACCTTTGAGGACGAGCGTCGTCGAAAGACCGTGAGGTTGTCGTACTTGTGTCAATGGGAACTGGGACGGTCTTTGAGATATTTCCACGCCAGCGCAGACATCAGGCTGTGAGGCACGCGGATTGCCCGGGCCACTCCATGCAGAATGAAGTGCTTCAATGGTGGCTTCCAGTCTCTCCCGCAGACAGGCATGTGCAGAGATGTGCTTCATAACATCTGGTCACCTGAGAGTGAAGGGCACGAGAGAGCCGGATCTACGACGACGCTTCGAAAGCTTGGCGAAGCTTTCAACGCGATGTTGGAGTGCATCAGACCAGCTGATGGGTTCTGCAAACCAGCGGTGGTTCCTGGGGACCAGCCGTTCTCACGATGACTTCTTCCTGGCTCCTCGCAGGACGCATTGGCTGGTCAGAGGTCAGATTCAAGGGCTCGAGCTGCAGCCACGTTTCTGCAAGGCTTGGCCCATTTCAGCTCACGGCCCTTGCCGCTGCAGAGTGGACTTGAAGAGATGTGTCAGTGAAGCACAAGATGCAGAGTTATGGCAACAGTAGATAGTCCAGACACGCCGAGATTCTGTTGCCGTCGTTGTCTTAGCTTAAGCCGCGCACAGCTGCCAGAAGCACAGCAAGCTTTGTGCCGTCTGCAACATCGCCGCGGTGCAGGACATCTTCCATCTTGACAACCTGCTTCAAGACACCGTGAGAGACCACAGCCACACCCCAGTCGATTCCTGGGGCCACACGTGGAGTTTTCAACCTTGCAAGAGGCCTCTGCTGTCGGCTCCCAGTAGGAGCGTGCAGGCAGCAGGTAGGCATGAGATCCTGCGCTAGCTAGGTCGTACAGTTCACCTGGGAGCGGATCGCCAAAAAAGTCAGGCTTCCTTGCTGTTGTCTCATGCCAAGCTGAGATCTTGTACTTGTTCATGGGAGCTTTTCGTCCGATGTTTCGAGGCTGGATTTTCAGGCCTGTTCTCGTGCCGGAAGGGGGCTTCGGTGCTCCAAACGGTTCTGTGCAATCCTACAAAGACTGCTACGTCGCATACCCAGTGTTCAATGCTTAACAGCAGGGTAAGGGGCCGACGAAGTGTCGGAGGGGCTCATGACCAGAACTTTTTGTGCCCCCGCACGCCTGCGATGTCAAGAAGCCAGCTCGAAGCTGTCATTGCCCAGATTGTTTCTGCTAGTTTTGTCTGGTTCAATGATTACTAATGCTACATGGTAGTCTTTTCCATTCTTTCACGAAGGCCTCTACATTTCCAGGGTTTGACAGTGTCAGGGAATGGCAAAGACATTGAAATAGTGGTCAAGCTAGCCCCAAAGATATTATCAACCCTAAACTCTAAACCGAAAAACATCCACGGTTAAGGGTTCAGGGTTCAGGGTTCAGGGTTTAGGGTTCCCAAACCGAAAAAAAATCCTGAACTCCAAGCCGCGTGGGAACTCCAGGGGCCGTTTGGGCTCATGCAAGCACCAAGGTATGTGGCCTGTCTGAAGGCGCGTAGAGTTTGCAACGAGTAGTCTTACATAAATAAGCAAATAAAAAATATAAATGTATGTATGTATGTATATATATATATATATATGTGTATATGTATATAGGTATAAATGTATAATTTATTATATAGATAACCTTACTGCACGATCTGGAAGTGCCAGTTGTAAGAAACACTCGGGGCCCAACGCAGGTCAGAAGTCCAAGGGACAAGCCTGGTGCTAGAACGGTGATTCGTATGGTCATAAGGGTTTAGGGTTTATAGGGTTTATAGGGTTTAGGGTTTAGGGTTTAGGGTTTAGGGTTTTTCATCAACTTAGACAAGATACCAGCAGTATGATGCTTTGCCCACTTCGCCTTCGCACCCTGGCCCTGATTCTGACCGTTTGGGTCGTCGCAGGAGCAGGTTTTGGAGGCTGCCCGCCCGTAGAGCAAGTGCAGAAGGCTGAGGTGGCAAAAACCTACAACGTTTCCAAGGCTGAGGGGAGGTTCTTTGAGATCTTCGTAAAGGACGTGGTGGAGGCTCCCTGCACTTGCTTTCTGAAAGACAGGCGTGTGAATGATAAGGGCCTCCAGGACAGCGATCAGCTCTACTGTGGGGCTGGGAAGTACATGTCCTGGTACAACGTGACGGAGGACAACTTCTTCATTCCGGGCCACAACGCTCGTTTCAACCTCGTCTTTCAGAAACCCATCATCCGCAGAGTTGTTTTTCCCAACGTGGTGCTGGGCTTTGCCGAGAAGTCTGAGACACACACTGGCTACACCTGGCTGGTGGAGTACCAGTGCATGGAGCGGCTGGGGGTGCAGACTTACATGGGCTTCAATATCTACCACCGTCACTGGGACCCTCCTGAGGCGGATGTGCTTGCGATCCGGGAAGTTATCGAGGACGCCGGCCTGGGGGAGCACTGGAAAAGCATCAAACCCATGGGGGGCCCTCACTGCAACTACTCCTCGCCTCCCACAGCTACGTTTCAGAGCAGCCCAGCTTTCTTGGTATAGTGTACAGCGTCTCGGGCCATGGGGATGCGAGCTGTGAAAACAGTGGATGCTGGTCTTCAAGCCCCCACACCATCCCACACCCAAGAGAGGATCTGTTCTGAGAAGCATGTTGCTTCAGCGTTTAAGGGTTTTGGAGTTTTAAGGTTTTAGGGTTTAGGGTCCTCTGAGAGTTCTAGCTGTCAGAAAAGACCAATCCTTGGTCGCTGTTCTGAGTCTTCCGCTCCCTCCCCTAAACCCTAAACCCTAAACCCTAAACCCTAAACCCTAAACCCTAAACCCTAAACCCTAAACCCTAAACCCGAGTCTTGGCGCTGTCCGCTATCGTTTTGTTCGCTCTCCCCGGCATGCCAGGGATCCTGGCTGAGTCCCAGTTTGCCTTTGCGGGTTTAGGGTTTAGGGCGTAGAGGGTTTAATTAGGGTTTAGGGTTTAGGGCTTAGGGTTTAGGGTCTATAGGGTCTATGGGGTTTAGGGTTTTTTGCTTAGGGCTTGGGGTTTAGGGTTACTTCATGTTGCAGCCTGGCACAGTCATTTTGTAGATTCTTGCAAAAAGGTGGCCCTGGGAAGCCACACACAAGACCACACAACGCCGGGGGTCATTCAGGATCAGACGGATGGCGTCGTATATTTGGCCACGCCCGCAGCCTTTTGCTTACAAGGACACATAGATCCTTGTACTTGTATCCTTAAAGCTGGAGCTCTACACTCCAAGAGCCTGAACCCCAAAGCCCGAAACTTCCTGACCACGCCATTGACCCTTTAGGGTTTAGGGTTTAGGGTTCAGGGACTGCTTTTTGGGGAAAGGGCCCCTTAGGCCCACGACTGAGTTTGTGTCACCTTGCAGCAAGTCGTGGGCCGCTTGCGCCCACCATGGAGGATCTCGTGGTCGGAGTTCAGTTGCTGGGCTTGGCTTTTTTTGGATTTTCCTTTATGGGTTCTCAAGGTTTGGGGTTTAGAACCTTGAGGAGATCCCACAGACTAACACCTCTCCAAAGGGATTCTGAAGCCCTAAGCAGGCTATCTCCGGCGATGGCCGGGCAACTCATCATTTGCGCCTATGGCCTTACAGCAATGCACAGCTGGACCCACCGCACCGTGAAAATGACCAGTGGCTTCGTGGGTGAATGCCAATTCTATGGCCGGTTGCTCTCGAAGTTCATGTTTGGCGTGAAAGCCGTCAGTGAGGCAGCCGAAAAGCACGTCCATCAGCGTCGCCGCACCTCTCTGCAGGAGATAGCCAGCTTGTGGTCCTTGGTACTGGATCTCTTTATGCTGGGCCTCTTCGTCGTCCAGGCAACTGGGGTTGCACCACCCATGGTGCACAGCATCTCATTCTACGTCACCGTCTCCATCGGATCCACTGTGATGAGGAGGATGGGAGACCCGTCAGTGGACTTGACACCTGAACGTTTCTAGGTCGGCCACTGGAATCATGCGTCTTTTCCCTTAGTGGTTGAAGAGCATCCCACCTTTTTTGTGGTACTTTCGCCCTAAACCCTAAACCCTAAACCCTAAACCCTAACGGGCCTAGGCTTGAACCGAGACATGACGGTCATGAGTTTGCTGGTTTTCGGAGCCACCATCGGAATGCCACGCGAGCTCATGCCTGCCTGCTACATGGCGCGAACTCTCTGCTTCACCTTCACCAACAGCCAGTTCAGCAACAAGGTCAACATCATGCTGGCACCCTTCTATGTGATGTCACATTGGCTCAACTTCGAGCCAGGTGCACCGCAAACTCTGAAGCAATCGTAAGCCCTAGGACCCAACCTCGAAGGCCTAGGCCCCAAACCCTAAACCCCAAATCCTACACCGAGGTTCGCCGCCCGAGAAGCTTTTGTTTTCCATGATCGGTGAGGTGGTGGCGGTCTCGCTCATGATTTTAGTCGTCACCAACCTGGACACCAAGGAGCTGGGATGAAAGCGCACATGTAGGTTTCTTACGGATGGGTGGGGCTTTTTGGTTTCAACTTTCAACAGGGGACAATCTGGACATTCAGGGTATCGCGCTTAGGGTCTAGGGGCGGAGCTGGGGTTTAGAGCACTTCTGTCGACATGTGTATGTTTAGAACATGTTATGTTGCAAAGCAGTATGTAAATACATGAATATATAACCGTGAATTCCAAATATCCAAGGCTGTCTGACAACCCTGAAACCCTAAACTCTAAACCGTGAAAAGGAGCATCATGCGGCTGCGCCCTAAACCCTAAACCCTAAAGCCGGAAAAGGAGCATCATGCGGCTGTAGCTACCATGGAGTTGGAAGCAAAGGTCGCCGAGGTGGCTGAAGCAGAGCGTGCCTTGGCTAGGGCTCAGGGCTTGGCAGAATCTTAAAGCCCTGACTGAAAAACTCTCTCTCTATATGTATATATATATATATATATATACATATATATATATATATATATCAAAACAAGGATCTGCTCCCGCGATTTCTCCTGAAGAGCCAGTTAGGTACAGGCGGAGCAGCTCAAAGATTGTTGTCCGTGACCTGTGATGCATCGGTTCGCCTGACGCATGACTTGAAGATTAAGACCCCCTCGCGCTCGCTTCTGGACCTGTTGATGTGTAACTTTGGTTCCAACTGCACGACCCAGCTGGAGGGTATGGCCTTCCTCCGCTACGTGGTGCAGGGGGAGCACGAACGTTTCATGAAGTTCATTGACGAGAACTCCCAGAGTACATCTCCGGCAAGGTCCGTGCCCCCAAAACCCTAAACCCTAAACCCTAAATCCTAAACCCTAAACCCTAAACCCTAAACCCTAAAAAAAATGCCCTAAACCCTAGACCCTACACCCAAGGTCCTTGCCTATCGACCTGAAGGACTCCAGCGGTGTGACTTTCAAGGCGGAGCTCTTCCCTAAACCCTAAACCCCTAAACCCTAAACCCTAAACCCTAAACCCTAAACCCTAAACCCTAAACCCTAAACCCTGAACCCTAAACCCTAAACCGTTGACTTTCAAGGCGGAGCTCTTCCATGTCACCGTTCCCAGCTTATTGGGCGATGGGGCGCATGAGCACCTGATTGGTATCACGAACGATCTCGCGGATGATCGGCTGGGACGCATGGAGCATACCTTGGAGAATCTTCCGGCGCCTTCATTCCAGGGCCTGCCGATGATCAGCGAGGTTGATCCGAGATACCAAGGAACTAGAGCCCTTTCGCATTCCTTTGCACCTTCGCAGAGGCATAGCTGTGGGAAGAGTAGCGTATCCAGCAGCAACAGTAGCAAAAGCTCAAGAGCACAACTCTCAACCATGCGTGAGATCAGCGAGATCGACTTGGTGATCGATCTTGAGACCGTAGATACAGATTTCCGTATTCTGTCGGTTACCCTACACTTCGCCGCGCCAACTTCCTGCGCCGAGCATGCTCTCCCGAATCTGGTGGAATGGCTCAAGCCGCGGTACCGGCAACAGGTGCATAATTGGATCCAAGAACATGCTAACGCCCATTATGCGGGACGGGAGTACAAGGAACCCCTCCGGGGTATCAAGTTGAGCCTTAGCCTAACAGAAGACATTTCTGGTTTGTCAATTGGCTCTTCGTGAGTTTTGAAAAAGGCCAAGCCCAAACTCGAAAAACAGTGGGTTTCTTGGCATAAGCAATATCTAGCAGGGATTGCCCGGTGGGATCCCCTTGAGGTAAGCCCAGGGACATCCCTGAAACAGCTTCTGCTCAGGGTTTAGCATTCACGGGATTCTGCTTATGTCATCCTTGTGGCCCTTGTTGGCCTTTCTTCGTGGACCCCAGGATTTCGCCCTTCCCAAACACTTCCACACTTTTGGCGGGCGAGCTCAAGTGCAAGGGAATCACTGAAGAGGAGGACAGCTCGTCAGATGCGGATGAGTCTTCTGCCGCAGGTGGGGAACAGACACTAGATTGGGAAATCCAAAACCCCATCCCCTGTACGGATTGGAAGCCCGACTATCCCAGAAGGCCACATCTATCAAGCCCCAAATCCTCAATCCGTCGCAGGTATGCTCATGGAAATCTCCATCCGGCAACTGTTTGTTCATTGAGATGCGGGCAAGTTCTGTCCGAGCTAACAGAGCCCAAGTGACGTGCGAAGCGCCGTTTGATGCCTGATCACGGCAAAGTTTCACTCTTTCCTTTTCTGCCCCCGCAAGGTACAGCACATGGTTCTCTACTTGGAGGTTCATGGGTAGTTATAAGTGGGGTTATAAGTCCCCTAATATGGTTTATAATTATAGTTACCCTACTTATAACCCTACTTATAACTACCCATGAACCTCCAAGTAGAGTAGACTCATTAGTCCGTCGCAGTGGCCGCGATCATGGCAAAAGCAGAGTCGAAAGACAGCCAAGCCGTGGCAGGAAGCCTCGAAGAGATCCCTAAACCCTAAACCCTAAACCCTAAACCCTAAACCCTAAACCCTAAACCCTAAACCCCGAACCCTGCCTGCTTTGAGCTTGGCTTGCGCCCTTCCAGCATCCCTAAACTTAGGCCCTAAACCCTAAACCCTAAACCCTACACCCTAAATCCTGAACCCTAAACCCTAACCCTAAGCTTAGGCCCTAAACCCTGTGAACCTTTACAAGCCGAAAATCCAAAATCGAGACATCGAGCCCTGGCCAATCGCCCTGAAACCGATTTCCGCTTCCGACCCGGCGATACAAGGGGATTTGACAAACAGGGGGCCCCGCGAGAATCTAGGGCCATGATGGTGTAGAGATAGTTTCGCGAGGCTCTTGTCAGTGGGGTAGTTCTTTGTGTAGTCTATGTCCGCTATCTAACCACCACATTTTTTCCTACGCATCCAGGAACCTCATAGACTAAAGGAGTCGCACACCTGCAAGTGATCCAGATCTATCTCTTTTTGCAGGTTCCGACACGAAAAAACCTCAACCCCAGTTCCGAGACCTTGAAATCTCTGTCTAGTGAAGCGATGCGATGATCGCAGCCGGGAAGAATCAACAACATCAGTATCCGAAGCTGCTGAAATCAAGACGGGTAAAGTCGGACTGTGACATCGCCTGTCTTAGACCCAGAGACTCTAATATCCCTTAATTAAGGAATATATCTTAAATTATAGTAGGATCCCTAATATGATTTAAGGTATATTCCTTAATTAAGGGATATTGGAGTCTCTGGGGAAGCATCTGCCCTCCAGCGCCATGAAGCCGTATCTTTGCGCTCTCGCAGCGCCGCTGTTCGGCACCCTTGTTGGTGCCCTCTTCATGCCTGAGGAGGCCGCCCAGCAAACACGCGTGTCTGGGTTCTTGTTGAGGAACTCAGATATTTTGTTGCCACAAGATGGAAAGCCTATCATTTGCCAGAGATTCCGACAAGAGCCCAGGTGTACATGTCCACGGCCACCAGCAACATCTGGGGCACAAACGCCCAAGCCGTTCAAGGAGCCTTAGCGCTCCTGGCCAACACGATGGCCAGGTTCCAGGAGGTTGGGGTTTGCCGAAAATCGGGGCTCCCTAAACCCTAAACCCTAAACCCCAAACCCTAAACCCTAAACCCTAAACCCTAAAGGGGGTCGAATAGGGATCTGGGAATGGTCACGGTTCTAAGGGGCGCCCGATTTTCTGAAGCCTTAGGTGGTGATCTATGTCAGCCCGGGGGACGTGGCCTTCATGCGGACTCAGCTGGACAGTGCGGTGCAGATCGTCGAATTTCAAGTGGACGATCTATGGATGCGGGACACGAGCTGCATCTTCGCGTATAGCAATTGCAACAACTACACGGACTGCGTTGGCACATATGGCCAGCCGGTGAATCATTCGTGGCCCTCTGCCCCTTTATCCTGCGTGGACTTTAACTTTAACGGTTGGGGAAACAAGCAAGCCCACGCGAATGATGCCAAGGTGGCCGCACATGTGGCCAGTTTCTCGGGAACAGCATATGTGAATTCTAGCTTGGTGATGGAGGGTGGTTCAGTGGAGGTGGATGGCGAAGGAACCGCCATCATCACGCGGAGCTCTGTCATCAACCCGAACCGCAATCCAGGTTGGACAGAGGCTAATGTTGAGAATGAGCTCTACACCACGTTGGGCATCGAGAAGGTGATATGGACAGACGGGATTATCGGAAGGGATATCACGGATGCCCACATCGACTTCTATGCGCGTTTCACATCCCCCGGGGTGGTGGTGGCTGCTCGCGAGAACGACGAGACCATCTATGACTACAATGTGACCCGCCAGGTGATTGCTGACTTGCAGGCTGCCACGGATGCACGCGGGCGTCAGCTCACCGTCCACATCCTGGACAATCCTGAAACTCTGCTTGGTAAGTGGCTGTGTGAGGGTGACAAGTTTTACATGTCTGAAAGGGTCCAGTGATCCAACTGTTCCAATCTGTAAACCCCAAAACATCCCTACATCACCAATATGCCGTATACACAAAACCACAAACAGCTTAAACCAAAAAGCCTTTAAGCCGCCCACGACCTCACAAGCCCTAAACCCATAAACCTATACCTGAAATCCCCAAAAGCGCTAAGACCTAGCAACCGAACGGAAACCCTCAAACCCAAAACCCTATACCCGAAATCTGGAACCCCAAACCCTGAAACCCTGAAGCCCTAAACTCTAAAACCCTGAAATCCCGAAACGCCGAAACCCTAAACCCTAAATCGGATGGCCGAGCCGAGTCCACGCTCCGCCCCGAGTGGAGCTCCGGGATCGCGGGCTATGCGGCCTCCTACATCAACTACTACGCGGCCTGCTCGGAGTTGGGGGGGCCTTGGGGCAGAGGGGTACTTAAAGGATCATGGGACT